GTGAAGATATGAAGAAGGGAGCATGTCTGAGTCCTTTACTTCTTTCTTTGATTTCCCTCTCTCGTATTGCCTGAGCTCTGCAGGGTCTGCTCTTCATGTTGTGTTGGTTTTTTTTTTCACATTCTTATTACTATCCACTTTTCAAACTGCTCTATGAAAACTGAAAAGGAAAAAAAAACCTGCTTCAGAGAGCCACATTTTTGTGATTTTTGTGAAACCGGTGCTCTCTCAAGCAAGCCTCTTCTAGCACACGAGTTTTGTATGGTGTGCATGTGAGTAAGTGCATGCCTCTGCATGTATCTAAAAAATTAAAAATGTATGTTTAAAAAGGAGGAAAAAAAGTCTATGAAGGCCACAAGACCTTCATTTTCACTGTCTGGACTGCATTTACTGTGCCTATTTCTAGCTAACAGACCTTCAGTGTGCCTTATAAGACTAAAACAAAATCATTCCCGAAGTGCACCTCTCAGGCACTGTGCCTACCTAAACAAGGAGGAGCAACAGAGCACAGACCTCTGAAGCAACCTGCACTACCTCACAGATGAGTCTCGCCCTGAGAGCCACAGTTTGCGGGTGAGCATCACCACAGGCACAGGAAACTAAAAACAGACTTGGTGTCCTTTAAAATAATTGTTACGTTCCACAGGCTCCACTGAAGATCAAGCAGCCAAAGGGGAAAGGTGAAACACTCTGCACAACTCTGTGACCAAATGTTTAGTAAATACTGCAAAGGCTCTGTCAGTTCTTTTTGGTTCTTTTTGTTAACAAAGAATGGAAGAGAAAAAAAGAAACAAGTTATACATATTCAAAAACACAAAAATAATAGATGCAGTAACTGATAGAGTCTGCTAAATCCCACAAAATATAGGTTCTTCAGTCCAGCTTGAATGAAGAAACAAACTGTTTTACACTGTAGAACAGTTCAACTTCTCCCTCAAATAGCTGAAGCCAAAATAAGATGTCATATAGTGTACTTCTATGTATCATAGAATCATAGACTCATAGAATAGCCTGGGCTAAAAAGGACCTCAAAGATAATCTAGTTTCAACTCCCCTGCCACAGGCAGGGTTGCCAAGCACTAGACCAGGCCACCCAGCACCACACCTAGCCCAGATCAGACAAACTGTAGGCTGAACCTGTGAACTTCAACTTCAGCTGGGCATGTAGCAAAACCTCTCTCCAAATCTTCACTTGTTCTGATGAACTTGTCATGGACAATCCACTAACAGAAAGCTCACAGACTTCTGACTTCTTGTGAACCAGTCACTCCACTCTTTTCCAATAAATCTTCACATCCCACCACTTTGCTACATTCAAAAGAACGTACTGTCCTTTGAAAAAAAGTAATCTAGCCATCAGCTAATCACAGCTGTGGCACTGCCAAAGCATTACAGAGTGAAAGGATGCTACCCCATTTCATTTCTCTCCATAGAATAAAGCATCCCATATGCTCGCGGCCTCCACTCTTTTTCATCATGTCTCTCCTTTAAATGTCTTTTACCAGAAGACTGGCATTAGCTGTCAGCTAATCAGCCTGCACCTTAGTTAGACAAGTGCCATGCTGATATGCCTAAGTCTTTTAAGTGTCATGCAACAAACCTGACAAATTAGTTTTCTTTCTATTTTAATACTTTTGTAGAGAGCCTCAGCCCCAAAGTACATTTTCCATCAGGTTAGTTTCCTAAATGACCACTTTCTGCCCATTTTCTGCTGACTTCCTCCTTTACAAGCTTTTGCCCCTACTTTATTTTTGAGAATATAGAATCACAGAATCATTAAGATTAGAAAAGACCTTTAAGACCTTCATTTAGTCCAACTGTCAGTATGGCTGAGATGTCTTTGTAAACAATATTACTTTATACTCAAATTAAGCACAGACCCTACCCCAGGAGCCCAAGTTCACAAAGTCATGGTTGGATTGGTTAATATAATTTTTAATGGGCATGGATGTGACATGCTGCTTAGATCAAAGTGCAAGGAGCTGTTATTTGTCACTGCTTCCTGTTACACCAACAGTAAATGCAGAACAGGGGCACAGTAATGAAACAAGTAGGAGTAAGCTGGGCACACTATCAAGAAAACATTGTGCATCAGTTTGAAAAATCCCATGTCCTTAAAATATCAGAAAATAAAAAAGGCGAGTAAAAGACAAAGTATAGTCTGTGTTGTTTTTGGAAAGTTCTGCCGTGCCTGGGTCCACTGGGTATTGATTTCATTTCATTTCATTACCACATCTGAAGCCGTGCTGATAGTAAATCACAAGCGGGGCCTAATTTACAAAGTTGGCTGGTTGAGCAGTAAAGTTATTCCCCTTTCTGCTTATGAGAAGCTGTGATGCTGCCGGAGGGGATGTCCCTTCCCAGGGACACTTCACACTTCTTGGACAGATGATTTTTCGCAGGCTCATCCTGCACATCATTTTGTTGCTTGATTTAAAGATGGCAGAATAGGTTATGTTCACAGGAAAAAAGCCTCCCCTTCAAGATGTTGCTGTTTTGATATAATTATAGTTCAAAACTGCTCACTTTTTATTACTGTTCACAGTGGCATTGGCTACCTCTTACATCCTGGGTGGACATTTATGTTATCTCCTGACGCTGCTTCCTCAGGTGAGGTGGTAGGCTAGATACATCGAGAGACCTACAGGAACAGGGCTTTGAAGGGTCATACACCTAACAACTAGCATTAGCAGAGGGCTTACATTAAGAGAGACTTCCTACACAGCTGCCAAACAAGCAAGACTCTTTGAGCTGGCTGCTTCCGAATAGGAAAGACTTCCCTAAAGCCATCCACTGCTCAGCCCACCCATGGGGTGGCTCACTTTCCTATGTGCACTACCTTCTACATGCCATAGAATCATAGAATGGCTTGAGTTGGAAGGGACCTCAAAGATCATGTAGTTTCAACCCCTCTGCTGTGGGCAGGGTTGCCACCCACCAAATCAGACAGTAGATCAGAGTGCCCTGGGCCCCATGCATTCTGACTTTGAACACCTTCACATTTTCTCTGGGCAGCCTGTTACAGCACCATGTGTTACCACGTACTCATGTCCTGGTATTACTGGTTGACAGCCCAGCATTATCTCACTCATCATTCTGGCAAAATCTTCTGTCAGCAGAGGCAACCAGCACGCATATACATGATGTGCTTCGAGAGTCCTCAAGACTAATAAATGCAGATGCTTGTACTGCATCTAAGTGAACATCACCTGTTTTCTGAGTTACCGCCACTGGATCTGTTTCCCCTTTCAGAACCTGCAGGTAAAGAAAATCTACTTTGATGTCTCGGCCACTATCAGATTGTTACAGGCAGCAAAATTAATTGTCCAGGGTTAATCTTGATCCTCTCTTAAAAACAGTCAAGTACACAAACAATTTTTCCAATTGCATTAGGTCTACAGCATGAATTGTTCCTTCATACACATGGCTGACAAACACTTCTGTAGCAGCTACAGGAATGGGTTGAAGATGAGCAAGAAACAGTGAGGAAGGGCATTTTCACAGCCATAGCCAGCTTTACTTGCATTCCGGGGCCCCTGTTTCGTGAAGGAGGTTATTTCCTTTACGCATCTCTCACCAGGTCATTGACCAGATATACACCCACTATAGCCTGCTGAAGACCACCACCAGGTGCTCTGGAAGCTGTCCCTTCTGACCTGAAAAACATTTGTTTGAAGGAACAAGTGTAACTCTGAGAATCCAAAGAACCAGAGTTCGCATTCTGACTCACCACTACTTGTTTCTGTCTCAGCTTCCTCTCAGTATAAGCAAGGAAGATTAAATTTATTCTTCCTTCTCAAGGGAGCTGGAAAGAGTCATTGTTGTTTGTATTTCTTTTTAATCACTCAGCGTGCAAACACTTCAGCTTAAGCCATTCAAAACTCAGTTACTTTGATTTTCTCAAAATTTTCCAATTTGTTAAAAATTCCTTGTCATGGGACACTACAGCTGAGCCCACGGATGCAAACAAAAAGTAGAAAATACGATGTTTGTGAGCAGTGGGCTGTATAAAATAAAGCCCCGCATTCAAACTCAGGCACAAGTTGTCAACATGTACAACTCTTAAGAACATGCATTTGCATGACCAGGACGTAAGACTTCGGGTGACTGAGGTCCCTGTGTTTGCTCAGCCCAGAACAGAGGAGCTGAGGGGAGGCCTGACGGTGGCTGCAGCTCCTCACAGGAAGCGGAGGGGCAGCGCTGAGCTCTGCTCTGTGTAACAGCGACAGGACCCGAGGGAACGGCATGGAGCTGTGTGAGGGGAGGGCGGCTGGGGGTGAGGGACAGGGGCTGCAGCACAGGGCGGTGGGCATGGAACGGGCTGCACAGTGGTCATGGCCCCAAGTGCCAGAATTCAAGGAGCGTTTGGACACTGCTCTCAGGCACAGGGTTAGGATTTTGGGTGCTCTGTGTATAGATGGGAGTTGGATTCGATGGTCCTTGCGGGTTACTTCCAACTCACGAAGTGCTGTGATTCTACGGGAAAACGCGCAGAGTGCAACATCAAAGGCGGCGACTCAGAACCCTATTCTTTAAAACGTCTAATTTATACGGAGAACCGCGGCCAAAACGATGCCACTCCTCGAGTTCTGTCCCCCTTCCCACAGCCGCCCCGTACCTGCCGAGAACCTCTCGGACCGCCCCAACACCGCCCGGCCCCCCCGCATACCCTCTCCCGCACCGACCCGCCCCCGCCCGGCGGCGGACACCCCACGGGCCGCCCCTCCAGCCCGCCCTCCTCTCCTCCCGGCGGCGGCAGCGCGGGAGTCCCCACCTCCCGACCCCTCCTCCTCCCGCTGGAAGGGGAAATATGAAGCGGAGCCGCCGCCGCGCTTCGTGGATACGGGTGAGGACGCGGCGAGTGGAGCCCGATCTGAGGAGCGAGGGACGGGCTCCCGAAGGAGAGGCGGTGTGCCCCGGCCGCGCTGCCGCCCCGCCAGCCGCCCGCCCCCTAGTGCCGGCCATGGGCTGCCCGGCCCGGCGCTGAGCGCGGCACGGCCCGCAGTGCGTGGTGGCGGCGGCACGGAGCGCGGAGATGTCCGTCCCGTACGGCAGCCTGATGCGGTACCTGTTCCCGGCCCTGCTGCTGCACGGTGAGTGCGGGGAGCCCGGCGGTTCCTCGGGTGGGAACGGGGCGCGGCTGGTGCTCTCGTCCTGCGCCGCGGGTCCGGCTGAGGGGAAGGAGCGCAGCCACGCGGAGCTCGCCCGCTTCGCCTCGGGGGCGAATAAAACTTCGGAGCAGCGGGGTGTGCTGAAGCCGTGCCTCTGTCCTGCTCGGCTGGGCACCTTGCGTGCCCGTGGCTTTGGGACTGAGCGGCTGGACGGGCAGCTGGCACAGCGATGGGCGTTGCCAGAAGGTCCGACCTGCCGGACCATGCCTCACCTGCGGCCGAGAAGGAGGCTTGTGGCCGGGTGGTGATTGCTGCGGCGTTTGCCGGCATAGGGCACCGGGGGCTCGGGATGATGCTGCCCGCTGTTCTGCTGAGCCACGGACTGACGTGTCTCCAAACCCCAGGCAGGCAAAAGTTTGGAGCCTAATGTATCTACACTTGTGTGTGCTGTGTGAAGCGCGTACATCCAGCTTGTTTGTCTAGAATCCCGATGTTCTTCAAGAGCGACTTCTGAAAGGAAGGCTTTTTAATTAGCTGCTTCGGTATGTCTAACATTTGGCAGCCAGATTTGAGAAATCCAGGCGAGATATCGTTCTCCAAGAGTGACTCAAGCTCCTCAAGTCACAGCATCGTTTTGAAGCATATTCTTAACTCAAGAGGACTTTGTAGCATCCAGACTTCTTCAGTTAAATTTTCCTAGGACCCTGAGGTGGCTTGTAAAAAGAGGAATTTGCTTTAGCTGTTAGAATGCAAGTAACCTACATGGATTCAGGGTGAGATCTGTGAGCAGGGATAAGGGTTTCAGAGCTATTCCTGGGATTGATTTTGCGGAGCGGGGATTGCCTCTCTCTGTGTTTGTACAAGTGCTAAGCACACAGATGGTATTCAGTAAATAATAAAGAGCATGGACTTCTGATTGTGTATTTTGTTTCGAAAGACAAAGAGCAAAAGACCTTGTTCCCCAGGAGGGGGCTTTATACCCTTCTCACAGCTCAGCAATGAAATCCAGAGAGAGCATAAATGTGTTTAGTTAAGCCAGACCCGCTGGGACGCCAAAGGTGTTTCTTAAAACTCTTGTGATCCGAGATGCAAGAGTGAAAATGGGAGGCTTGGAGTTAGAGGGTAAGGAGAGGAGGTGTAATTACAGGGTTGGACTCCCTGGCTCATCTGCTTGGAATTACAGAGCAGTGCTGAACCCTGGCTGGAGCGGGAAACAAATCAAGGCTGATGATCAGATCAAAACAGCAACTGCCAAAAGAGCATGAAGTAGGAAAATAGTCTATTTTTTCCATCTGTGGTTATGTTTCACCAAAGAAAGTATACCTATATTCTTGCAGAATGATGCAGCTTGGTGGCTTGTGTGTAAACATCTATACCTCAGTGAAGTAGCAGCTCACAGTTGGGGTCTGAGCTTCAAGCGTGGGGAAGTTGCCACCCTTAAAAGCTTGAAAATGCCATTGGTATCATACAGGGGACTGAAGTTCAGCTAGTCTGTATGCACTTACCTTGTTAGCTTTAACTTTGCCTGGAGCTTTTTCTGTGTGCATCCTTCAGCCAGTGGCCAGCCTGAGCTGATGATGTGTAAGAACAACAGGCAGTCCCAGGGGATTGCAGCGCTAAGCCTCTTTACACCATGTCATGTTGTCTTCAGCGTTTCTATTGCACCTAGCAAATTAAGGGTTAAAAGTGAGTGAGAGGGGGTGTGTGTGTGTGTGTATTTAGGGTTTAAAGCTTTATAAAGCAAGTTAGAATGTCCTGTAAGACTAAAACTTATGCTTTCATTATGTTAAGAAATGCCTACTTTAACATTGCTGAATTACTATTTGGAAAAACTTGTGTTCCTTAGTCAAAATAAAACCTGTGCAATATCATAAGAGGTTTGCAGCTGGAAGTTGTCCATTATCACTGTTTTCTTTGCTTAGAGAGAAAGCCACAGAAGTTTCAGATGTCAAAAGCTAAAATTGTTCAGCTCCAGAAAACCTGATTAATAAGAGTCAACTCCAAGAGGGTTCAAAACAAATTTGGCTAATTTCTTTTGGAAACGTAAACTTTTTTTTTAACAAGTACAGATGCTAAGAAGAAACTTTAGCTTATTTCTGATTATGTTACTGCTAGAATAGTGAATTAGAAACCCTAAGTAAAACAATTTGTTGATAACATCATGGAAATAGCCCTAATGAAGATGAAGACAGGACTGCTGGGCTTTTCAGAGCAAAACTGTTTATGCTTTTAAAAGTTCACTGGCAATATTGTTTAAGTTAGTGTTTAATTTCAAAACCTGCTTATGGAAAATAAGTAAGTGTATATGATGTAAATACCCATGTCTGTAAAATGGACCAGAATTGCACTGCTTGCTAGAGGCCATGAGAGCTGTTCCCTCTGTAACATGCTGCTTTTGGCAATCTGGAAGACAATGAATAAAAGAGTAAAGGGGGGAGTTTGCAGGGAGAGATAGATGAAGTTTTATTCACAATTTCATTAGCGTAAATTTGATTTCACCCATCCTCCGTAGCTTGGCTGTGGGCTTGCAGTGGGAGGAGATGGTGGTGGTGAGCCATCTTTGCACTCTGTAGTGTGTGTAGGAGACAGGCTGGCGAGCGATGGAGCCCAAAACTGGCACACAGCATGCTGATGGCAAGTATGCCCAGCAATTTAGAACAGTAGTGTTTCATTTATGGACGCAGTGCTCTAAGTAGGGCTGCTGGAGGGTGCGGTGGCCCATGGCAAGCTGGTTAGCACTCCTTGCGCGGACACAAGGCCCACCTGAACAAACAGCCGCACCGTGTGTGGAGGACAGCAGTGTGCAGATGTCCGTGATGGAGACCAGATGTCGGCTTCAAAGGGGGCGAGACCCAACTACTGTCGAGATTAGATTGCACTTCAGCACAGGGCTGCCCCGCGTGGAGGTGGGCTTTAATTAACCCTTTGTGGCTCTGGAGGAAAGCATGTCCATTGGGCAGGGGTGGTTTTACTCTTGGCATTGGGAGCTGCGGGGATCTGAATTAACAGTCGGGCTCGCACTTAGCAGAGCTTCCCTGCTACGTAGCTGCTCAGTGCTGGGTCCTCTGATCTCCTCCAAGCAAAGACAGGGCTGTAAGAATCTAAGCCGGAAGCAGCTAGCCTTGAGGAGCTTCGTTCTAGCTCTGCCATCTAAGGACATTTTATCTCCCTCCAGGCTCTTTCATGCTCTGCAATGCTTCTTTCCCTCCGTGAGGGCGCGAGGCTCTTTGGCAGCTGTGCCTGCAAGCCCTGCATGCACAGGAACATCAGCGGATACCTGTTAAGGGAAGTCATTGTCCTGTCTGCTTTTATGACCAGGAAATTCAGCTTTCCTTTCCCAGCCCCTTTGTTCTCAGCAGCTAATTTAGGTCCTGATCCTGTGCGAGGACCGTTTGAAGTTCCAAGCGCAGAGAAAACACTGGTAAACACAGACAGCGGCTTGGTAACAGGACATTATATTCCCCTATGTAATTACACAAGTTTGCACTGCAGCTGAAGGCCTGTCACGAGCATTATCTAGCACTCTCCCACATCAAGAAAGAGAGTAATCCAAATGTGTATTTATTTAATTGTGCAGGGCGACTGCCCAGATAAGGAGCTATAAACTTAATCCTGCCAATTATCCTTTATCTGTGGTAAAGTTTTTAATGTTTCAAACAGGTTTGAACTTGAAAAGGGCTTGAAGCAAAGCTGCAGCCTGCATGTTCAAGTGTCATTGTGTGTTTTGCACTTGGACTACCACTTGAGATTGTTTTAATTTGTAGCAGAATGGTCCTCTTCTAGAGTTTGCAGGGCTGTAAATTGAAAGTCCAAGTGGTTCTTCCTGAGCAACCCCAATCCAAATCCAGTTTTTAGTCCTACTTTTTGTTAACGTTTATCCTCCCATTGAGCCAAAGGTGAGCCTGCTGAAGGTATAGTAGCTAAGAGCCCGTGTGTTGAAGTGCTCCATTTGGCCATGTTAGAAGACATGGTTTCCATTCTGATAGAGGTGTTTGTTAATTAAACTGATTTAAATCTAAAAGTTTAACCTATAAGATTATTCAAGCTATACTTTTGCAATCTTGCAAAGTTGAGAACAGAATTTGCCCGTGGTGTCTAGATATGAATTAAAAGATTAGAATTTGTTCTCATGTGCTCAAGCACATCACTTATCATTATCGGTGGTACAATTGTACATTGTTTGCATACTATTTTTCCAAAAACTGAGCCATTGAGCATAGCAGCTCATGTTTTTTTTGCAGAAATGTTTGTGAAGAGCTTTTTGTAAGCAACTTCTTAAACACATTTGGGTAACCAGCTGCCAGCAGATCACCCTTTCGAGACTGGTATTTTACTTGCAGCTATGTGCAGAAATCTTTGAAGAACTTGAAAGTAACCCATCTTACCTTCCAATTATTTTTATCTGCAGTGGTTGTTCCCACATCAGATAGGGGTTTATGGGTGAACCCCAGAGCTTGAAGCCCCCGCCTTATCAGCACCTGGTGCAGTGGGTGCTGCCAGCTATGCATTCTCACCTGGCAGCTGCCCACACCTTGCTTTCCCACTCTGATGGTTGTTGGCTCTACCTCTCTAACATTTGATCTGTGGGGCACTGAAGGGGATTCCCAGCTGGGAGACGGAGCTGCAGCACCTTGTGTACTGTCTTCGATTCAGACTTTGGTGCTAAAGCTGTACTGTGATCTATGCTGCTAGGTCTTGATTATGAAAGTGAAGTTGGTTATCAATGCATCAAAAATGCATTTGTTATTCTTTGTTTTGCTTTTCTAGGAGGCTCTGGAATTTTCTTTTTTCTTTTGGACTTGCTGCTGTGAATAGGCAGCCACCGTGGGGAGGCTGATACAATCTTATGGCCTGTGGTCACGGTGTAGCTATAGGAAGTGTTAACTAAAATGCTGCCATTAGCACCATGCAAAGAATGGGTTTTATGTCTGTCAAGCTTTCGAATGATTAGATGGTGGACTATCTCTAATGAATGTGCAAGTCCTTCATTTCGCATAAAAAAAAAATATTAAAAGTGTCAGACCTTGAGTCTGAAATATGTGGCTTATCATGGAGATTCTGAAGCCTATCATCTGTCTGTGCTATAGGGAATAGCAGAGCTGGATCCCTCTGAATGAAAGTTGTGGCTCCAAGTATGTTGCAACCATGCTTGGGCTCCAAAGTGGGCTTTTAAGAGCCGTTAAATTCTTTTCTCAGTTTTGTGAAAGCATGTTTTAATCTTAAGCCTTCCAGCAACGTCCAACTTTGAACATCGCCAGATAGATCTTTTACAATGAATGCCATCATCCCCATGAGGCCTCAGATTTGCAGAACACTTTACTAAGCACTGCCAAAGGGGAGCAGGGGATTCTGTGCTGCTTTGAATTATCCACAGTGTGGAAATGCATAGGAGACAGTGTTCAGCTTCATGCCCTGCACAGAAAGTACATCACCAGGCTTTGTAAGGGATTTCTAGGTAGCACAAGTGAAGTTAGGGCACCTTTGACTGGAATTCATACAAACATATGTAGTTATAAACAAAAGTGTTGAAAGCATGACTCAGTGAGGAAGAAGGCTTTGCTGAATTAAATATTTCCTTACGTCAGCAACACAAACATTGAAAAATGTAGTAAGCAAGGTAGGGGTCCCATCATTGCTTTTTAATGTTACACCATAATCTGTATTCTGATAGTCAGGTCCAATGTATGGGATGTTGCCTGGCATGTTTGTGTCTTCCACATCTCTTCCTCAATCTCTGCAGTCTTTCTTATGTTCTCATGCCTGTCTTGACTTAAGCTTCTTCCCATCATCATTTGTCACAGTTTGATGGATGTATCCTGAGCACATGCTTACTTCTCAGATACAGATCTCTGTGGCTGACAATGCAAATCTCCCATCCACTGGGTACAGTTTGTTGTTTGCAAGATAGAACTACATCCAGCTGTACTTCCAGGGAGGGCTAGAGGCCAGCTTGCTTTTAAGCAATATCAAAAAGACACTGCATAATGTCACAGAAAGTTTGACTCCTTTTCAAAAACCCCTCTTTTCATTATTTCCTCCAGGGAATAATTGGCAATATATAATGTGGTTACCGCATCTTCTCTTTTGCTATGTACACATACAAGATGGTATCCTTCTGCAGGAGGATCTTGCTTGCAGAAATTAAATGCCCAAATATGTTTAAATGAATAAATCATTCATTTTCAAGCGCATCTGTACTTATGAATCATATGACATGTGTTATGAAAAGCACAGCAGCCTAAAAGCAAAGTGCGTGATACATGTGCTTTGGAAGAAGTCACCTGAACCGTTTCAAAACCTCCTCTTAATGGCAGATTTCAAATGCTTAACAACTCCAGGCAAAAATGTAAATTTTCAAAGGCTTTTTCAAAGTGACATAATTTCTTTGCAGAAGACATCCTGATAGCTGTGTTTCTGTAGAAAGAGTAGTGACAGCTCCAGCATACAGCAGGTACCTTGCAGGCGGTACCCTTTCTGACACAAAAGATCTATGGACAGAAGCACTCCATTAAAGAGAATGTGCTGAATTTTTTGAGTGTGTAAAGATGTAAGGAGAAGTTCTGAAACATCAGCTATGGTTCATAACAACAGAAATAGGTGTATGGCAGATTTCACTGGACCCGGCTGAACTTGTTCTTCTGGAAGCATGAGGGCCTGTGACATCAAGCCCATGCCCACAAGGTTTCAGATAGACCCGATAAGCTCAAGTTTTTGAGAGCTGAGTTCTGTTCCAGGTGAGCTAGGCTGCCAAGAGATGCTGGCTTAGGGCCAAGAGGCTATGACCATGAAAGACTGATGAAAGACCTATCTACTAAATCCTGCCTCTCAAAAGATTGTCAGATTCAGGAGAGCATCGTCCTGGTGTGGTCATACTGCTTTGGAAGTGACCCTGCCATTTCTTGCTTTAGAACAACTGTTGTTTGATGCACAAGAGAGACTGCTCAGCATTGCAAAAAGGCTTAAGAAGACTGGCTTTCAGAAAGAAAGAAGTACTGACCCTCTGAAAGTCCTTTAAGTGCATCTCAGATGGCATGCTCAGATATCAAAGCATCTCTTGTATTTATTACCCTTTAGAAAGGAAGGCCATAAATTCAGAAGGAAGAATTAGAGGTAAACTGCAACAAAGCTGCTAGATCTGCTAATAAAGACTGTGAAGTTGTATCTGTTAATCTCATTAAATCTCAAGATCATTCTGTGATAAGTACTGTTTACATTCAAGTATTTATAGTCATGTTTCTGATCACTCCTTACTCTGCCTACTGGAAAACTCCTTGCCTTTGTTCAGTGTAAAAATTGCTCTTCTTAAATGGGTGACGTGTATTTGTATTTCTAGCAATGCCACTTTCCCAGGTGTTAACCTAAGTTTACTCCAGAAGACATGAGGCCTAGTCAACATCATGAGTCACTGACACAGTTTACTTTTAGCAATAGGAAATGGCAAAGCTTGGAGGCAGTGTCTATTTAAAAATGAATAATGCTGGTTTTCTATTAAGTTCTGCAGCAATACTGTGCACTGTGGGACTGAGCACAGCCTTAACATCAGCCTGAATGACAGACCTTACATTTAGAGGCTGCTCTTCATGCCTCATATTTTGATACCTGACTTGGGGAATACAGAGCAGGGTCTAGTTTGGTGGCTTGGACTGCATAGGGTGAGTGATACAAAAGAGCCCAGTTCCAGAGCCAAGTTGGGCAGGAAAGTCATCAAAAAAGACAGGGCAAACCCTAACCCTTACCCCTGGGAGCACATGTCGTTGAGCCTTCCCTCTCCCCAGACAGCCAGACTGGCTTCCAGGGCACACCCCATATTCTTTTCCTAGCCCAGAGGCTCTTAAATTCTTTTTGATAAAGTATTAACAGTTTCCCACCCGTTATGTAAGGTTCATGTTTTTCATCTCTTAACCTCTAGATGCATGCTTTTCTTTTGATCCATGTTTTCGAACATATCTAAGAGCACTTGGTGCCTGAAAGAGTAAAGATGCATTCCTCCTGAAGCTAAGTATTCATTTGGTCCAATTAATATTGTGTAAAAAGATCGCTGGTGGGTTTTGTATGTATACATTAGTAGAAACCAAAATTACTGTGTGATGGAGACAAAATTAGCTTTTGAAATTCCTTTTCTCCTTTAAAATAAAAATAGCAGGATCTGTCTCTAATTGACCACCTCAGTCATCAAGGAGGCTTCCTGTGTGCAGAGGCTTTGCTTTTAAGATCTGTTTTTCCCTTGGCTTTCGAGAGTACTCTTTGTTTGCAAGTTTAGTATAGAAGCGTTCAAATTAGAGGGGGGCTGAAACCACAGCTTAGGTCCAGATCTGGATACAAGTTTCTGGGAATTCCAAGGCCCAGATTTCTTATTGTCCTGACCAGAGATTAAAGAGGTGTCTGTAAAATTTAACTCTAGAGCCACATCACTGGGTGTAGAAATGCAGCACTTAGGTTCAAGCCTTTGTGGAATTCCCGAAAAGAAGAGCATTGCATATTTTTTTTTTATTTTTCAAACGAGACAAGAAATGTCCCCACACATAAGAATTTCCCCACACATAACGTTGTGAACAAATGTCATTCAACACGAGGAGATGTTCACAACCACCTTTATCATGTTGAAGGCTCTCTTACTGGGATCACTGGATAATGTCTGCTTTCCTATTGCAGGGCTGGGAGAAGGCTCTGCTCTTCTTCATCCGGACAGCAGGTCCCACCCCCGTTCCTTGGAGAAGAGTGCATGGAGGGCTTTCAAGGAGTCACAGTGTCATCACATGCTGAAACACCTCCACAATGGGGCCCGCATCACTGTGCAAATGCCTCCCAATATAGAGGGACACTGGGTCTCTACCGGGTAAGGAAAGATCAAACGAGATGCTTGAGTGGTGTATGTGAAAGAGGAAAAGGGAAGGAAATGAAGAAAGAAGGACAAAAATTTTTATATTTTATATATATATATATATATATATATATATATATATATATATATATATAAAAAACAAGCAGAGGAACTAATTTCTTTAATATGGTGATACTTCAAATTCCAAATGCTTTACAATAAGTTTATGTATAAAAGAAGGAGCTGTGTTATGTACAGAGGAATAGCATACTATAAAACTATCTTGATGAATCAATTTGTAGTCTCGATTTTAAACAGCAACTGTGAAATATCTTTAGATCTCTTTCTGAATAGAAAAGAGACCATCAAGTCACCAAAATGCTTATTCAAATGTAACATTATACTATCTTAGACTGCATGCATTAGATCCATTGAATGGATCCTTATTTTCAAAGTGTCTAGCACAAGTTAGTTTTCTTAACAAAAGAAATTAAGAAGCTGTATTTCACCAGTTCTTTTCCTCTCCATACATGATAACTTTTAATTCAGAGAGCTATTTTGCTTGATGTCTCAGCAGGCAGTAGTTGCCCATATATTTCAAGTGAGTTGTAGTAGGAGAATCTTGGGCTTCAGCAGCTGCAGAAACCAGTTCCCTATTCAGTCTGTGGATATTTGGCATTTCACTTTCTTATGTTATCAGTGCTTTTGCTAAATCTACCATGCAAAAGAGAAGAACAGATGTTTAATAAGCTGTGACTTTTTTCATAAAATTAGACACATGGTAGTCCTTAGACAAAAAGGAAAAGTGAAATATGACTCAAAGTATTTAAATCTACAGAAAGTAAAACCCTAGGTATATTACTGTATATTACTGTAATAGCAGAGGAAATTCTTGGTGAATTGGCAGATCGTAGTACCTAGTTCCTATTAATTTCATTTCAGAGGGACTTGAGTACCCAGATATCTCTGGACCCATGCAGTGTTGCTCATTCTTGTCACCTATACTGTACATGATGTGCCACCTTGCTAAAATTTTGTTTCTGTCTTCCTACAGCTGTGAAGTCAGAGCAGGCCCAGAATTCATCACAAGATCTTATAGATTCTATCACAATAATACATTTAAAGCCTATCAGTTTTACTATGGTGGCAATCGCTGCACTAACCCTATCTACACATTAGTTATACGAGGCAAAATTCGTCTCCGCCAAGCATCCTGGATCATCCGAGGGGGTACTGAAGCTGATTATCAGCTACGCAACATACAGATCATAAGCCACAATGAAGCAGTAGCCAAAAAATTAAGTGAGTTGGTCAACAATACATGTCCTGGATTTATACCAGAAGATAGTCCCTGGGAACAGGATGTGAGCTATGATTTGCTCAGAGAAGAGAATGGCTGTGAGTGCACCAAGGCTCTGAATTTTGCCATGCATGAACTCCAGCTGATCCGTGTCGAGAAGCAGTATCTGCATCACAATTTAGATCACCTCGTGGAGGAGCTATTTCTTGGAGATATTCATACTGATGCTACCCAGAGGAGGTACTACCGACCTTCCAGTTACCAACCTCCTCTTCAAAATGCCAAGGTATGTATGTGTGTATGGCATCCTGTTCAGTTACTAGTGACAAAGCTCACGTTATTCAGCTCCTCTGGATCAGTGCACTAGTGTAATCTAAAATGCAGATGTGGTTCTAAAATAAGAAATGGATGGTGGCTTTACAGATGATGCAGACACTTACAAAAAGATCACAGCATATTTCAGGGAAGTAGTACCTCTTTTGTGGTTTATGAGACTGCAAATCAAATGCATGAAAGGTAGTCTAATGAGCTAAGGCTGATAAAGGCCACTGTGAGTCTGAAGATGGTATCGAAGACCTCTTGCAGAGGTGACTGAAGTTGCTGGCTGGGACTGTGGTTAAAGGCTAGCAGAAGAGAAGAAAGAAAGTTTGATGCAGGACTGAGAAAGGGCTAGAGAAACAGGCATCAGTGCATGCTTGTATAGCTGCAGGAGCATCAGGGGGAGAGGAAATCAGATTGTATCAACATATGGAATTTGGGTGATCCATAACCTGAAGAGAAAAAAAGGAAATTGGAAGGCAGAGACATGAAAGGGGCAGCAAGAAGGGGAAAAAATGGATGGACTGTGCAGGTCATGGATCCAGAAGCAGGCATACACACTAATGAAATGAAAAACAGGTGAATTTAGAATGGGTCTCTAGTTCCATTTGATAATATGGTTTTCAAAGGAGCTTCAAAGTGCCTTTAGCTTCATTGGGAACCGATCAACTCATGGTAAGTTAAATAAAAATCAAACAGGAAGAGTAGGCATTGATGGCCTGTAGCAGGAAGTCTGTCTGTACATCTTTCCTGGTGACATTTCAAAGGAATGCAGCAATTGGAACCACATTGCAGGCTGCAGTTGCTATCAGTATGTTCCAGCTAGAGACTGCTGCACGATCACTTCCAGCTAATGAGTTATCACCATTTTTAATTCTCTCACTGTGTAACTGGTTCAAACAGCAGCTAAGCTTATCAGCAATAGCAGGAAACACAACAAGGGAAAGGAGAGTTTTGATGGGAAAGCCTTGGCTTTCCCTTCCATTCAAAAAACCACTCCGTCCACCCTGTGTTGTGTCTACCTCTTCTGAATATCAAATTTCAGTAGTTCAGGACTTTACGTGATCTGCCTTTAATTATTTTAAAAGCGTGTCCTGGTGATAATTTTAATCTACAACCAGCTATGTCTCCATACAAACACTGCTGTCACTTCTTTCATTAAGTTTTCTTCAAGTGGCATGGGACGAATCTGCTTCTTGTTCATAAACATACATCTTCTCAAAATGGAGAGTTTTAGCAGCAGTAGATGAACCACAGAACATTCCTCATCACAAACGCTGGATTTGGCAGTTTTAATTGTCTTAAATTAATTCAAGTAAACTCTTTGCTCGTTTGGGATTGAAAGGTCTTTCCTAAATCTCTACCTTAAAAAAATCTGTAGGATCAGATTATCTGACTCCAGCTACATTGCATCTGTTCAGCAAATATGGTGTATCTTTTTTTGACCATGTGAAACAGAAAAAAATCTTGATGTAATGTACCCAGGTGACTATATTTTCAAATCTGTCTGGTCAAGTTGAGTTATCTTGTTAGGGACTGATCGATGACCCAGTAAATGCCTACATTTCCACCTATTAGTAATTTCATTACAATCACAACAATCAGGTGTACAACTGGTTTTGTGCAAATAAGACTTTTGTTCAGATCTGAGCAATTTTAGGAGGTGCTGATCACAGTTTTCCTGCCTGTCTTTTGTACTATCATAGAATCAAAAAGAATCTTTTTGCTTTTAAAATAATATTTCCTCTAAAATGTAAGGTTCAAATTAAAAGGATTAAATCTTGCCTAAGGAGGTCTGTTTCTCAAGTCACATTGACTGTATAAACCAAAAGATTTTACAGATATCTGACAGCACTTGAAACTCTCATTTACACTCACAAAGCCCATTATCTCAAGCATGATATGATCCATTCTGACTTCAATGGATGACATTATGTGAAAGGTAAAAGCAGTCTCAGTCGATGAGCTGTGGCAGCATGAAGGGGGCCTGCCTGAGCCTCCGTGCATGCATTTGGCTTGCAGTCCCACGTCATGGTGGGCTGATCTTGTCCTGAGGTATGTGTGCACTGAAATCAGTGAAAACCCATGAGGTGGATCGCAGAGGAGGCTCCCATATTATATGTTTACAAGAACTGAGGGAGTAGGAGGGTATACAAGCCAAGTTATCCATTGATATTTATGAAGTGCAGTTCTTCCTAATAAGACTTTTGGTAGCCAATTCTTGGCAGGGCTGAATCTTGAGGCTGCCATTCATAAAAGTACTATTTATTGGCTACAGGAAGTACTGTTACTATAGAAAGCAAAAGTTTAGTCTTGAGTACACCAACATACACAAAAATTCCAGCTCTCTGTGACATAAATTTCATGAAGTTTCATAAATGGAGGCCCCAGGTCCTGACTTTCAGACCTCTTTGTTCAGTTCTAACTTCTGGCCAGTTACTCTGTTCCTCCTCAAGCCTTTGCACAGCCTAGTAGGCTCCTGCAATATATGGTATTATATCTTCAGGGTCTGGATTGCTAGGACAACAGTCTCAGCTGGAGCCTTCAGCTGCAAAGTGCAGGAAGGTTGAACACAGACTGAGTGTCCCACAGTGTAGGTTCTCTTCATAATTTGGTTGGGTTCATCTTGTTCCAGTTTGGTGTGAAATTTGTTTTACCTGGAGAGAAGTTGGACGTGCTAATAGTAGACATTCAGCATGGCACACATAACAAATATCCTTAAAAATGAGCTTTCAAAGCAGCTAATATGAAGGACTTCTGGGTTTCGGTCTGTACCTAGCCATGAAGTTCCCTAGGCCAGCAGGACCTCAGCCTGACTGTGGGACTTAGTGTTTGCTGGGTGGAGAAAGCATAGTAACAGAAATGCTGGGTTTTTTTGTTTCTTTTGCGTTGTTTTTTTTTAATTCAAAAAGCACAGGCAAACATACTGCTGGAAGGTTATAACCCTTCTTCTTTGAACTCCTTTCCTTTTCTAATTGTTGCTCCACTGGGACCCAGCTGAAAATGAGTTTAAATGCTAAATTGAGTTTAAAACTACAAGTCACAGACTCCTCTGGAAACAGGACACCATGAATAAATAGAAACGTTAAATCAACTTGTTTTTCTTTAAGGTTTTTGCAGTCATACCAAGAGGTTGGGGAGGCCAGGAAATTACTTCTGAAGTGAATCAGGTGTATTGTGTGGAATCTTTCATTTAAGGCTTTTTTCATTTCCTTTTTATTTATTTTTGTTTTATACTTATAATAAAGACCTGCCTAAAATAAGTTAAGAGGATTCACGTTTTGAGTTAAATTTATAGTTAAGCCTCTATATAGAAGAAAGTTCCACCCCGCTCAAGAGTTTACACAGCCTGTAAGTTGGATGCGGTAGCCACATTCATTACTTATGTGGTTGAAATGAATGGTAATTAAAAGCAAATGATTGCTGGATATGCTAGGAATGCCAAAGCCACATGATCGGGACTTTAAACAAATAGAATTGGACCTTCTCCAAACTCCTGCAGTGATTTCACCACAGGGCGGTAAATCAAAAGGGCCGTCCAAAAACCAGACAGCTTTATGCTGAGCTACAAATCTGAATAATTTCACAGATTACCGTATCTCAAGTGTTCATATAAAATCAGGGAGCTTTTAAAAATATCTAATATGTCATCTCCTAAAGCTTTACAAATGCTCTTAGATAAGAGCATACCTTAAACAAATTCCTCTTGTAAAAGACATGGAAGTTCCTAAGAGCAGCTGATTAATAGATCGCTGCATACATTTATCTTAGCAGTCCTCCAGCCTCGCTCAAGGTATGAATCAGAACTTGCTGATGAAGTGGGCTGAAAGTCTTTGATGTGCCTTGAGGTAGGGAGTTTAGAAAGGGATTCATGTTAGTGCACGCTCAGGCTCTTTAGCCAGCAGGAGAGGGCACGCTGGTGGAAAGAGCAGGGTGGTGGAACTTCTTGGCAGTCATTGCCTGTGTTGTACAAAAAAAAACACGGATGAGGGCAACACCAAGCCTGGCTGACTGGTCATAAATTCATACCTTATTTGCAAACTCATACAAGTACTTGTAGGAAAGGAAGTCTTGAATACATTATTCGTTCAAAGTGCGTGCTTAAAATGCCAGGAATGTTTACAACACCAGTACTGGGGTGCCGATTTCATATCTGATTGCCTCAGAAATACAGTTTTGTAAACAAAGAACTCCTTGTGCTGTTTTATCATCTGACTGAGTAACAGGAAAGATCAGACCGTGGCTGTGATGCCAGGACATTCTGGTTAGATCGTTAGTTAGGAATTAGGCTGGAACATCACAAGAGTCCTAAAATATGTTTAGAATATAAACCTTCCTTCTGCCTTTGCCATGCTCAAACACTTGCTGGCCCCATGCTTTCAGTAAGATTTTCCCGTGGAAAAGATTCCCAAGTTGTCAGTTCTCTCTGACAAGTTTATTCACCATTGGAAGCTGCCTGCGCAGCTAATGCAGATTCTACACATGGAGACTGGTGCTTGGTTTTTGCTTTAGCCAGGGGGTGAAAGAACAAAGTGCTCAAGGTTTTTTGAGCTTTTGACAAATTGGGTGTTCAACTCTTTGAAACTCAGTTACTTCAGCTGTTGGGGAATGTGATGTACTGGAGGAGCTCCCAAGCGAATCCAAGCATGAGTGAATAGATGTTAAACGTGTGAAGTGCCTCCGAGAAATAGGCAAAAGACTATCTCAACCAAAAAGTGTAATTTTGGAGGACAAAACCGCTTTGTTTGCCAGAGACTTCTAGATTAAGAGACTTCTAGACTTCTGGATTAAGCCAACACTTGAAGGGTTTCTTTTGTTAATTATTACTGGCCAAAGACTCTTAGGGAAATTATGAGGGGAGCGAAAAAAGAATATCAGAAGAATGTTCAAATATGTTAATTCCAGGTTTATGAACAGCAACTGTGTGTATGATGCACTTCAGAGATAAGAGAATCAAAGAGCTTCTAA